ATTGTGCTGCTTTAATGGTTGCTCTGGATGAGCTGCAAGGTCTTTTCCAGCTTTTCCTTTCAAGCCCGTGATTATTTTTCCATAACAAAACAAGTACAAATCCAGTCTCCTGCTATTTTTAATCTACCCTGTTTCTCTTGGCATCTTCGGGATGCTTTACACCCTGCCCCGAAGACGTTGAGGTTTTTATGATGTTGTTATCTTGTTTTTCCTCCTTTTGTTTGCTCTCGGAGATTGGGCTGGGCAGAGATGTAGAGAGGGAGGCAGGGAATGTGCAGGGTGATAGCAAGACAGATAAACACGAGAGCTGGTGAATTATGCATATTCCTGAGCGTTCACCTTGAGGAAGCAGCAGGATCTGGAGATTGCATGGCTGGCAAAGAACTTGAACAGCAGCTCTGTGGGGCTTATTTATTTTTTTATCAGCGGTCTTCGAGGAAGATGAATTATCTGCCAGAGGAGCCTTGAGGGATCTGGGTTTATTGTCATTGTACAAGTTTTAGGACAATAAAGTGACTCTGTTCTCCAGTGCTCCTGATGAGCTGGTCAAGGCACTCTGTGAGCAGGATTATCCAGCCTGGAGATGCAAATGAGGAGATTTCACAGCTCTCCCTGGATTCTCTGACCCTCATTAAGCCCAGGGGAACAGCTGAGCTCTGGGATATTGATCACACGGATCCGGGATCATCCTGAAACACCAATTCCTTCTCTGAGGGCACCTGGAGTCAGGGAAGGGCTGGGCAGAGATGATGACAAATACTCCTGAATTCCTGAGGTTGGAAAAGCCCTCCCAGCCCATGGAGTCCCAGCTGTGCTCCATCCCCACCCTGTCCCCAGCCCAGAGCTTTGAGTGCCACCTCCAGGAATTCCTTGGACACCTCCAGGGATGGGCACTCCAAACCTCTCTGGGCAGTGCCAATCCCTGAGCTCCCTTTCCATGGGGAAATTCCTGCTGCTGTCCCACCTGGGACAATCTCACCCGTTTCCTTTAAACATTTATAATTTTTCATGTTATTTTAGAGACTCATCATTGCAAATCTCACCTTAGAGCTGTTGTTAATCCTCAAACCTCAACACTCCCAATGTCGGTGCTTTGTATTTGTAAGGCCCCGAGAGTCTGGGTTTGATCTCCCATCACACCAGGTCCAGAGGTGCTTCCCTCCTTTCTCCCATGGAATCTCTTCCTAATTGGAAAAGCTCCTTCAGGCATCTCATCCCCCCAGCCTTGAGCACAACACTTCATCATTGCAGGTTGTTACGAGATGCTGCCCTCATCAATTCTCATCCTGTACCTCTTAGAAAAGGAACTCATCTTTTCCAATACCTGCCTTGGAACCTGCAGCCAGGTTTTCCAGCAGAATCGTTTCCTCACAATTAACTGGGAAGGTTCCTCTCTCAAGGAGCAGAGTGTTGTGTCAGTGTTATTTTTTGGTCAATAATGAGTAGCTGGAAAGGTTAGGCTGTCCAATACCTGCAATGCCATGGAATTTGAGAGGGGGTTGCAAAGATTAATACGAAAATCCTGAAAAAACGCAGTAGAAAATAATCCTTGTGGTTCCAAGCTTGTTCTGCTTTCAAGGGTGCCTTGGAGTCAAGGATGGGGATCAAACGTGTTTTCCTTGGTTTCTCCAGCTTTGCTTTGGAAGCTTTGAAGATTTTTAGCAAAGCCAGGATGAGTTTGGACCAGGGATCAAGAATATAAAATATAAAATACAAAATATTAAGATGAAGATGTTTCTGGCTGTCTCTTAATAATGAGTAGCTGGAAAGGTCAGGCTGTCCAATACCTGCAATGCCATGGGGTTACAAAGATTAATAGGAAAATCCTGGAAAAAAGCATTAGAAAAAAATCCTAGTGCTTCCAACAGCTTGTCCTGTTCTGCTTCTGAGTCCTGTAAAAAAAAATCCAGGGAGGAGTGGAAATTAGGAAAATGAGATCCATTTCTGAATTCCCTGCTGCAAGACCAGCAGAGGGACGGGTGCCTTGGAGTCAAGGATGGGAATCAAACATTTTGTTTTCCTTGGTTCTTCCAGCTTTGCTTTGGAAGCTTTGCAGATTTTTAGTGGAATCAGGATCAGTTTTCCACCAGGGATCAAGAATACAAAATAAAAATGTAAAATACAAAATAAAAAATAACAAGATGAAGATGCTTCTGGCTGTCTCTTTGTGCAGTTTTACCCCCAGTTTTACTCTTCCAACTGAAATGATTCCGTCATGGGGAGACCTCCACTTTCCCAAGTGGGAGTTCCAAGCATGGCAGTTTAAATATCCATTGGAAGGAAAAAGCTGTTTGAGGGTCATAAATTAATTTACGTCCTTGTCAGAGCTCATATCAACACAATTGTTATTTTTACATGTTATTTCATGTATCCTGGAACAAGATATGGATATATTCAGAGAGAGGGAATTATTCCAGAGGCATCTGGATGCATTCCTGTGCCATGTGCTCTGGGATAACCCTGCCTGAGCAGGGGGGTGGCACCAGATGAGCCAGAACCACCCCATTGCTCCCACATCCCTCTCCAGGCTATTTCCCTCAGAGGCAGCATTATCCTGGTTTTTCATCTCCATGGAATAAAACTCCTCATGATCCCAATTTCCAGTTCTGTTGGATGGTGACATTTCCCTCTGTGCATCCCTTGTGGTGATTACTAAGCTTGGATTTACTTTCCTGTTCCTTCTCTACTTCTTCCATTGGAAAGGAGAAGGCTGGGAATTCAGGAAGATTAAAAGCCATGTTGATGTTAACCCCATTTCCTGGAGGTTTATTAACCCCACTTCACAGCCAGCAGTTCAATATTGGGATAAGAAGGAAACTGGTCCTCAATGAAAGTTATTTATTGAGGTTGACTGAAGAATTTCTTTCTCAACCACCCTGATTTTTACTTCCAGGTACTTGGATGGGCACATTTGGTGTGGGATTCTGTGTTTCAAAGTTTTGCCCAAAGGTCTCTCATCAAAACCACAAAATTATGGAGAAATACAGTCCCTCCACCATATTCCCTGAAGCCCTTTTGGATCTCACAATAGCAATGGATTACTTTTGAAAGTTCAGGCAATCAGTCCTTCTGAAGCACTTGGATTAGAGGAAACAGCCTCAAGCTGCAGCGGGGGAAGTTCAGGTTGGATATTAAGGAAAATTTCTCCATGGAAATGTTTCTCAAGCTGTGGAAGAGACTTCCAATGACAGTGGTGGAGTTAAATCCCTGGAAGTGTTCAAAAACCACAGGGGTGTGGCACCTGGGGACATGGGCTGGTGGTTGGATTTGAGTGTGGCTCTGATTTTTAAAAGTGTTAAGTTTTCTTTTATAGTTTTTTTGAAAGTTTCCAGATGTTGCTATTGGACACGAAATGAGTACACAGAAGCTTGGTAAGTTCAAAAGAGGAAAAGAGCCAGTTTTTTTTCAAACATCTGGGATTTCTAGAATTCCAAGGGTGACAGTGGATTGGAGGATGGAATCACCACCTCTCCACCACACTGGTCCAAAGATCAATCAATCATTTCTCTCTACCCACAGAGAAATACATAAACTGTTCTATTTATACATGAAATGGTGTGGGAACTCTGACTCTCAAACATGTAAATATTATCAGAAAGATAAAGAAGTTTTATGAAAACTTTAACACTTTCAAAAGAACGATAGAAGAAAACTTAGCACTTTTAAGAATCAAAACAACACTCGAGGCTTTTCAAACTTAACGATTTCATAGATTTCATTTCCACTCGGAAAACTCTAAAAGAATTGTGTATTCCTGCAGTTTTGGGTGACACTTGTCCAGGGAACGTTTGCAGCAGGGAAAAGCACTGGCTGAGCAACAATTCCCAGAAGGAACGGGACAGAAGTGTTCCAGTGTGGAGCCTGGGAGAGTAAATGTGCTCTGAACAGGCAGAAAGTTCAGGCTGTGGAGCACCAGGGAAAACAGTGCAATGGATAAGAAAAGAGCTTCAATTCCCTGTTTTTACCTTTGGATAACTTTGTTTTACTTCCCAGAATAAATAACACGGAGCATTTGCTGGAGGGGAGGGAGCCACTGGAGATATTTCAAATAAATCAACATTTGCTTCCTTGAGTTACAGTGAGAATTCTGTGGCCCCGAGGCTCGTGGAACAAATAGATGGGAAGGAGCACCAAGGGGCTGGAAGGAGTTTTAGAAACCTTCTCAAGCTTTTAATGTCTCTGTTCCCCACCCCAAGAGGGAGTGGGATGTTCCACAAGGGGAGGTTTTTGTTTGCTGATAGTTCCTGGGTTTAATGTTCAGTGTGGGGAATAATCCCAGAACTGGCTAAGGGAGGCTTGTGGCAATCTGAGCCTTTGCTGGAAAATCCTTTCATGGATGTTTTTATGTCCAGATATTTCAGGATATGGAGTGAGGATGCAGGGTGAGGCCAGGTTGGATAACCTGAAAGAGGAGAGATTTAAGGGGAGATTGGGAATTGGGAATTCCTGTCTGGAATGAAATTCCCAGAGCAGCTGTGGCTGCCCCTGGATCCCTGGCAGTGCCCAAGGCCAGGTTGGACATTGGGCTGGAGCAGCCTGGGACAGTGGGAGGTGTCCCTGCCATGGCAGGGGTGGCACTGGATGATCCCTAAAATCCCTTCCCACCCAAACCATTCCATGATTCATTGATAATTCTCTAATTGGTTTCCTTTGGAATTCGACTTATTTTATACAAACTGCATGACATAAAATTGAATTTGAATTAGAGCCCTCCTCAGCTTCTCTGTACTTCAACCCAATGAATAATTAAATCAGTAAAACTAAATAAATGAAGAATTTCAAAGCTTTTAAAAAAGAAATTAAGGGAAAACAACCACATTAATCCATCCTGAGGCTCCCAAATCCAGGTGGGGACTGACACAGGACAAACTGGGATAGTGGAAGGTGTCCCTGCCTTGGCAGGGGTGGGATGAGATGAGTTTTGAGATCCCTTCCCATCCATGATTCACCGAAAGAATCAGTAAATAAATACTGTTTGTAAATAAAGTTTTAAAGACTGATCAAGGTTTAATGTGAATCCTTTATTTATCATTTTCAGGATGTAGAAATTGATATCTTTAGTTGTGGAGAGGTGGTGGAATTCCCATCCCTGGACGTGTCCAAGGCAAGGCTGGGTGGGGATTGGAGCAACCTGGGATAGAGGAAGGTGTCCCTTCCCTTGGGCACTGGAACAAGTTGAGTTTTATGTCTCCTTCAGCCCAAACCATTCCACAATTCCCTGATTTTATGGTCCAGTGCCAATAGCCTTGGAGTCTGGACCTCAAACCTTGTGTGAAAAGTGGTTAAGAAATGAGGAATTAGAGGTGTTTGCTCAGTGCTGCACAGAGAACCAGCCCGGATTAGAAGTGGAGCTGCTGCAGGAGGTTGGGAATTCAGGAAGATTAAAAGCCATGTTGATGTTAACCCCATTTCCTGGAGGTTTATTAACCCCACTTCATAGCCAGCAGTTCAATATTGGGATAAGAAGGAAATTGGTCCTCAATGAAAGTTATTTATTGGGGTTGACTGAAGAATTTCTTTCTCAACCACCCTGATTTTTACTTCCAGGTACTTGGATGGGCACATTTGGTGTGGGATTGTGTGTTTCAAAGCTTTGCCCAAAGGTCTCTCATCAAAACCACAAAATTCTGGAGAATTCCAGTGTGGGAATCCAAGTACTTGCAAGATTTTGTGCAGGGTTCTGTGTTTCAAAGCTTTGCCCAAAGGTCTCTCATCAAAACCACAAAATTATGGAGAATTCCAGTGTGGGAATCCAAGTACTTGCAAGATTTTGTGCAGGGTTCTGTGTTTCAAAGCTTTGCCCAAAGGTCTCTCATCAAAACCACAAAATTATGGAGAATTCCAGTGTGGGAGTCCAACGACTTCCTTTACATTGACTTTTTAGCATCAAATACTGAAATTGAAGTGCAATTTCTGTATTAAAGTTTTGTCTATTCCAGAGAAGCACAACTCACATAATAGGAAATTAATGAGAAAGATGGATTAGGGCATTATTTTCCCCTTGACAAATTAATGGATATTACAATGGATTTTGAGCAGGCATCGTTAGCAAATGGAAAAAATTGCTCCAATTAAAAATGAGCCCTGAGGCTCAACCATCAAAACTCCATTGTCAAAATGGAAATATTTCCCATGGAGTGTTTTAGAAAGAGGAGGAGGAGGAGAAGGATATTCCAGACAATTGCAAAAATTGGCATTGCAGGAGCAGAAGTACGAAAAATTTGTCTAATTTTGGGTGTGACATTTGGATGGCTGTGAGTGAGGACTGGGAAGAATGTTCCAAGGTTGATGAAACCAAACTTTGAATGGAATAAAGAGAAGGAAGTTTCTGTTTTCCCACATTGTCATCAGTTTCAAAATCTGAGCCTGACACTGCAGAATTCCAGCTTTGTTTTTTCTGGGAGTGATGCTCTTCTTGGCCCCTGCTTTGTGTTCCTCCTCCAGCTGGAACAGCTGAGTCCCATCAGGAATTTTCTGTTTTTCCACCCCATTTAGGGTGAGTTGGAGGAGCCTTGGTCTGGCAGCATTTGACTGACCCCAATCCCAGATGGAATTGTGAAGTCTGTGGGTGGGATGTGTAAAGGGAATTTCTGCTCGGTGCTGGTGTCCTCTGGAAGAAGGTGGAATTACAGAATCCTTTAGGTTGGAAAAACCCTCTGAGATTGAGTCCAACCCTTCCCCAGCACTGCCAAGGCCACCACTGCCCATGTCCCCAAGTGCCACATCCACAGGGCTTTAAATCCCTCCAGGGATGGAGACTCCACTATTGGACCACCCTTTCAATGAAATTTTCCCAGTATCCAGACTGAGCTCCCCAGTATTTTGTCCCCTGTTGGTTTCTCAGCTTTTTCCTTGAGCTGTTCCATTAATTCCCAGTGCTTTTCCTCCCTCATTGGGGGTTGGATTCCTGAATTTACCAGGGCTGGAAGATGAAAATCCAAATACAATTCTGTACAGGAATAACTCAGCTCAGCTTCCAGCACTGTCCCAGCCTTGCCTCATGTCACATCTGCTCCAGTGCAGGAATTCCCTGTAGAAAAATTTTTCCCATGGAAAGATTCAGGAAGGAACCAGAGTGTCTGATCACTCTCCTGGTGTCCTGGATTTTGGAGCTTCACCCAGGAGTCTGTGGGATTTCCTGGCTCTCTGCATCTGGGAGTTATCCCTGGATGGAGGCTCCTGGTGAAGCCTGTGCTCAGTTCCCACCTCTTCCAGGACATCCAGCCTTGGTTTCCCATTTTAATTTTCCTGTCCTGCCTTCCTTGGGATTTCAGCGTGTCCTCCTCTCTTGGTGGATGTTCTTTTCCAGTGGAATCCCATTTCCTTTCCAACCAAACTCAGGCCAGGGTGTTTTTCCCAGTCCTTGAGTAATTCCTTTCATCCTTTTCCACAGCAATTTTCCAACTTCCTTTTGGGAATGACAGCACAAGGTCTGTGCTCCTTGTTGGATTCTCAGCTTCACCACTGCCAGGTCTACAGGGAGAACAATTTTTCCTCACTTCTTTGGGCACATCCAGGGATCTCCATGGCCCAAATCCCAGATTTTCCAAGGTTTCTTTGTTGTGTCCTGTTTTATTCCCCAGGCTTTAGGCTTTGGGTGCTCCATGCTCACATCCTGGATTTCCCATGAGGAAAGGACAAGGAAGGAACTCCTTGTGACCTCACAGGGCACTGGGCTCTCCTGTTGATCCTACTGGACATCCATGACAAACTGGTGACCACTGGGAGCCTTTCTCTCTCCTGGCAATCTCAAGAATTCCACTGGAAGCTGCAGAATTCAATCCATGGGCTATTCCTGGAACAAAATTACAAAGCTGAAGTTTCTTCTAATTCATTTTTCCAAAACACCACAAGAGGAAATCCCTCCCAGCCAGGAAATTCCCTGGGATATCCCACATCTCCCAGAGGGCACGGTGCATCTCCCGCTGTAGGACTTTCCTGCCCTCGGAATTCCATGGAAACACCTCGGAGTATCCCAAGGAGGCCTTTCCCAGCAGCCCTGTCAGTGCAGTCCCAGATTAATCCCTGACCTTTTGGCATTTGGCAGCAGCCTGACAGGGATGCTGCCACTCAGGAACTCATTCCAGGCAGTTCAGCCAAGCAGCCAGAGTTCCACACCTCGGCTCCATAAATCCTGGTGCAGTTCATTCATCAGGAAAGGCAGGAAAAGCAGGAAAAGCAGCCTTGCTTGAAATGTGTAAAAATCCTTGTGTGTGGCACAGGAGTGTGACTATTCCAAATTCAGCCTTTTAAACCCTGCAACTGGAATCCCATTTTCATTGAAACCAGTGCTCAAAGCTCCCATGGACACACACGGAATGGAATTTCAAAGGAAAAATGGAAAAGTGTTGTTTTCCCTGTGGCACTGGTGGCTGCTCAGAACTGCCCGGATTTCCTGAGGTGTTGCTCCGTGGTGTGTGATGGGGCTCACCCCACACACTCCTGGCACTCCTAAAGCTCCCCAGAGCTGTCCTGGAGGAAAAGGAAGAGCAAAAAGCTGGGAAAAAAAGCAAACAAAAAGCTGGAAAAATCAAACAAAATTGGAACACAAAAATCCCTGCAAAGACCCTGTTCCTGTTTATAAAGGCAGGTGTTGGGTGACTGTGTTCCAGAAAATAACACGATTATAGGAATAAATCACATGGGAATCCATTTCTTCATGATTAAAAAGGTCATTATTTATTCACATAACTCCTTTTTATACAGTTTTACAGACCTCGTGTGGGACTCCAGCTGCTCAGGAGCTTTCTTGCCAATTACTTTATTGGTTACTAATAAATTGTTATTCAGTATTGTTTGGTCACTCAAACTCTCAGTGTGTATGTGCAGGGACAGTTGTTTGTGAGAGTTTTCATGTTTTTATCTAAGGGTGTAAAACCAATTTATACAGGTGCAAGTTATTTTTTTACCCAGGAATAGAGTGTTATGCTAATGAACTGCTCACACCAGGATCGCTTCCACACGGGAATTCCAGGCTTGATTTTATGAAGCCTTTCTTTATGATTTTCCTACCTCACTGCAATACAGGATTTCCCTGGAAGCAGCACTAACATTGCTGTTGGAGCCTCCTGAAACAGCTCCTGTTTTCCCAAAGCCTTGCCTCGGGAATTCAGTGCCAGGTGGGGCCTTGCAGCACTGTCCCCTTGTGTCCCCGTCCTCCTTCCCCTGCAGAGCTGGAGCTGAGCAGGATGGAGGGGCTGCAGGAAATGTTCCCCCCTGCACAAGCAGGGATGCTGAACATCCCTGGAGTGACCATGGCTTTTCCAAGGATTTTCCAGTCCCCAGGCCTCCATTTGGCTGTCACTTCAGCTGGTGTTTTAATGATAAAAAAGGGAATTGCCGAGGATAGGAGGGGATTTGGTTTCCCTGGGCAGGGGGCAGAGGCCACGCTTTGGCTTTTCCGCTTTTCCAGTGGGTGTTCCTCTCCTTTTCCATATCCCAGGATTCTGCTTCATGGGAGCACAGCTGTGGGAAGGGCTGGGTGTGGAGCTGGGAGAGGCTTGGGAAAGATGTGGGGCTGGAGAGGTGAGTAAGGGAGGGAGAGAGAACCTAAAGGGGCTCCAGGAGAGCTGGAGAGGGGCTGGGGACAAGGGATGGAGGGACAGGACACAGGGAATGGCTCCCACTGCCAGAGGGCAGGGATGGGTGGGAGATTGGGAATTGGGAATTCCTGGCTGGGCTGGAATTGCCAGAGCAGCTGTGGCTGCCCCTGGATCCCTGGCAGTGCCCAAGGCCAGGTTGGACACCCTGGGACAGTGGGAGGTGTCCCTGCTGTGGCACAGGGTTAGAATAGGATGGTTTTTAAGGTCCCTTCCAACCCAAACCAGTCTGGAATTCCACCTGTGAAAATCAGGCTCTGAGGGTTTCCACCAACCCTGGAGATTCCAGGACTCCTTCTCCAGAGCTCCTGTGGATGTTCTCGTGCTCAGGGAATGGAGGTGTTTTCCAGAGGATGGAACATTCCAGAGGATGGATGTGTTGGAGAGAACGTGTCACAGAACAGCTAGGACAGCCTAAATCAAAATGGAAATTGTAAATTAATCTTGGTGCCAGTCCTATGGAATTGGCTGGGTTAGGTCCTGGATTTGGATTTATGGGATGGTCAGGGTTGGAAGGACCCTTAAAGATCATCCAATTCCAGCCTCCACTTCCAGGAGCCTGAATTTAAGGAAATCTTCCCCTGGGATATTCTTCAGCTTCTCCACTTTTGACTGAGGATCCCAAAAATAGGAAGGAAACCAAGAGATGGGCAAATCCTTGTGGATTTATAGGAAAAGGTGCAGAAACCATGGAGATGTGGGAGCCTGGGAATGCTGAAGTGCTGCTGAAGTTCCTTTTGTTCTGTAATGACAGAGGACTCTGCCAGGCTGGGCTCTGCTGCGAGCCTCACTCAGTAATTAAAAATCAATTAGCATGTTTGGCAATTACCTAATTAACTTCCTAAAGCTATCATGTCAGATTCATATCCAAACATGCCTCCAAATCCTGTGTGTTCCCAATAATGCAAATTATGGGATGCCTTTGTTGCTCATGGAAGTTGGAATTAAGGGAAGTTCATGACGTTTTTGTTAATTTGGACTGTTCCTAATTAACTGGGCTTGGGATCTTCCAACAGCCAAGTGGGAGCATCCAAACTTCCCTGGGAGCACCACGGTGGAATTTCTCCATGGGTTGGACTTGCTCCCTGCAGCTCAGGAATGAGGCAGAGTGGGAAGTGATCCCAAAATCAGCGTCAGCTCCTGGGAGAGCTCCATCAGCTGGGGACTTTTTGGGGTGATTTGGGTGAGTTGGGACATGTCCAGACAAGGACGTGGAGGGGCTGGAACATGTCCAGGGAAGGGAGCAGAGCTGGGAAGGGGCTGGAGAATCCCTGAGGGAGCTGGGAAGGGGCTGGAGAGTTCCTGAGGGAGCTGGGAAGGGGCTGGAGAGTTCCTGAGGGAGATGGGAAGGGGCTGGAGAATCCCTGAGGGAGCTGGGAAGGGGCTGGAGAGTTCCTGAGGGAGCTGGGAAGGGGCTGGAGAGTTCCTGAGGGAGATGGGAAGGGGCTGGAGAGTTCCTGAGGGAGCTGGGAAGGGACTGGAGAGTTCCTGAGGGAACTGGGAAGGGGCTGAGCCTGGAGCAAAGGAGGCTCAGGGGGACCTTGTGGCTCTGCACAGCTCCTGCCAGGAGGGGACAGCCGGGGGGTCGGGCTCTGCTCCAGGAACAGGGACAGGAGCAGAGGGAACGGCCTCAGGCTGGGTCAGGGGAGGGATTTTGGGAAAATTCCTTCATGGAAGGGTTGTCCAGCCTGATGGAGCCCCATCCCTGGAGGGGATTTTTGTTCCTATTTGTGTTTTCCAGTAATCCAACAGAATTCTGCTCTCCTGAGGTGTTCGTGAATCTTAATTTGAATATATTTAACCTAAAAAAACCAAAAAAGAAATAAAAAATTTGTTACAGCTGCCAGAAACAGGAGTGGGAAAGGTTCAGGGAGTGACAGAATCCCAGAATGGTTTGGATTGGAAAGGATCTTAAATCCCATCCCATTCCTTGGGCAGGGACACCTCCCACTGTCCCAGGCTGCTCCAGCCCCAGTGTCCATCCTGGCCTTGGGCACTACCAGGGATCCAGGGGCAGCCACAGCTGCTCTGGCAATCCCAGCCCAGCCAGGAATTCCCAATTCCCAATCTCCCACCCATCCCTGCCCTCTGGCACTGGGAGCCATTCCCTGGGTCCTGTCCCTCCATCCCTTGTCCCCAGTCCCTCTCCAGCTCTCCTGGAGCCCCTCCAGGCCCTGCAAGGGGCTCTGAGCTCTCCCTGGAGCTTCTCCTCTCCAGGGGAGCATTCCCAACTCTCCCAGCCTGGCTCCAGAGCTGAGGGGCTGCAGCCATAAATGCATTCCCATTAATGGAAATACCCATACCCCATTTTATGGAATATTCTCCATGCTGCTGCTCTAAAGTGACTCCAAGAACTGCCCAAACAGGATTTTTTTTTTCACCACTAATTACAGGACCCAAAGTCATGTGCAAAGTCTTTCAATCAAACGGAGATTTCTGCTTTATTCCACTTTATCCACAACATTTCATCTTACAAATAATTATTCCATTCAGATCCCAGTATCTTACAGGATATTTAACATTATAATTGAGATTTAGGAGGATCCCAGATGTTTCTCCAATATTTCTGACCTCCTGCAGCACTCCCAGCTTTGGGAGCCCACATCAGCCACTGGAACCAGGGAATATTTTTCCTCCTTTACATCCTGCTCACAAAATGCCTTTTGTATTTGGGGTTTGGTTTCTGCTGTAAATAATTTATAAATTCACTTTACAGGAGACAGACAAATCTTTCAGGAGCAGGAGCTCCCTGATTTGCCTTCCTGTTCTGCCACCAGAGTAGAAAATGAACCAAGGGCAGGGGAAAGTTTCCATTATTTTATTTGATGTTGTTTTAGAACCAACTGGAGTTGTGGAATTGGGTCAGAAATCAGGAATTTTAAAGTTGTCTCCAAGAAATGTGCAATTATCCAATTTGCAGCTGCAGGGTTTGGAGAACACAATTTTTAAACCATAAATTACCCCTAAAAATATTCCTCAGTTTTTAAACCACAGCAGGATCTCCCTCTCCCTTCCTTCCAGACACTGTGTGGTCCCTACCCTTCGGAAATATCACTCATGGGGGAATTTTTCCTCAGGTTTGATGGAAAATCCTGGTGTCTCCAGGAATTCCATGACTCTTTGGGCCCCTCGGTGGCATTAATGGGGCACAATCCCTAAAGAAAGTGTCCCCAGTGCTTCCCTAAGCTTCATTTCATAGAACTGTGGAATGGTTTGGGTTGGAAGGGACCTTAAATTCCATCCCATCCCATCCCATCCCATCCCATCCCATCCCATCCCATCCCATCCCATCCCATCCCATCCCATCCCATCCCATCCCATCCCATCCCATCCCATCCCATCCCATCCCATCCCATCCCATCCCATCCCATCCCATCCCATCCCATCCCATCCCATCCCATCCCATCCCATCCCATCCCATCCCATCCCATCCCATCCCATCCCATCCCAATCTTCTCTGTCTCAGGCTGCTCCAGCCTGGCCTTGGACGCTTCCAGGGATCCAGGGGCAGCCACAGCTGCTCTGGGAATTCCATCCCAGCCCCTCCCCACCCTCACAGCCAGGAATTCCTAATTCCCAGTATAGCATCCATCCCTGCAGTGGGCTTATATCCCACTATCCCAATATCCCAAATCTGCCGTGTGGTAACAAATCCACACTTTGGAATTCTCAGGCCTGCAGAGATCTGCACAATCATTATCCCTTGCTGGGGTAGGAAATCTCTGGGAATCCTCCATTTCTGTCCAGGCTACAAACCAAGATCTCCCAGGGATGAGGAGGAGGGAGAGGATTCCTGGAGCTGCCTTTTTCCAGGCTCTGTGGCTGTCCATACCTTGGCATTTGTTTTCTTACTGGAAACAAAGAGCTGCTCCATAAATCCCAGATCCCATCTGGAGGTTTGCATGGAACCAGAAATCCTACAGAAATTTCCAGTCCGGGAAGTGGAGTGAAAAGGCTCCCGAGCCCTCCAGGAAGAGGTGCCAGAGGTAATATTCAAATATTGGATTTTGGAGAGGAAAGGGGAGGCTCCCAGCTCGGATCCTGAGCCCCAGGACAAAGTGGCTGGGAAGAGGAAGGCTGAAGGTAAATTCCAAGCCCGACCATGGAATCAGAGGTCGCAAGATGGAGGAAGGTTATGGAGGAATAAAAAATGCAGAAAATGGAAAAAAACACCCCAAGAAAACCCTTAAAAACCAAGGGAGTAGCACAGCCATGCCCTTCAATAATGCCAAATCCAATAAAGCCAGAACTGGGAGGGAAGATCCTTTGGGAAATGAGCCCAAATGAAAAGAGGAGTTCAGGGAAGTTGGCAGCTCTTTCAAAAAGCACAGGAAAAATCCATGCCCGTGCTGAGGAGCTGGGAGAGGCAGTGGGGAGCAAACAGGGGCTGAGTCCTGCCCTGAGCATTGCTCTTCTTGTCCTTGGTGTCGCAGAGCAGGCCACATCCACGGGTGGATGGTTTGAAGAGACCTCAGCTGGTTGGATCTCCTGGTTTCCAGCTCCAGGAGTAGCTCAGTCCAGGGCAGGAATTCATGTGCAGCCCATTTCCATGAAATTATGGAATATCCTGTGCTGGGAGGGACCCACAGGATCATCCCAACCCCATCCCTGCCCAGACTCCCAACAATCCCAGCCCGGGCATCCCTGGCAGCGCTGTCCAAAGGCTCCTGGAGCTCTGGCAGCCTTGGGGCCGTGCCCATCCCTGGGGAGCCTGGGCAGTGCCCAAAACCTTTTTGGGAAGAGCTTTTCCCTGATATTTATTCCTTCCCGTTCCAGTTTCTTTTCCAGTTCCCTTCCCTTCCCTTCCCACACACACAGCTCCAGCCCCTCCCAGCTGTGGCCCAGCACCTCCGAGTGATTTTCTCCTCAGAAAATCCTCCTCTTTCTGCCCCAAGAGTCGCCCCAAGAAGATGCTGAGCAGCTCTGTGGTTCATCCCAGTGAACTACACATTTCCTCACTTTCCTTTGGGAAAAAGCAGCCCCGTGTGAACATTCCCAGTTTTATTTCCCGCTGCTGTCACGGGGAGCTGCGCCGTTACAAATAGGAAATTAAATCAGGGGGTGATGTAAACCTGCGGAGGAGAACAGGCAGCTGTTATGGTTCTTTATTGCTTTTTTCATCTGCTGTTGCATTTTGCCATCGTCTGGTGCTCAGTGAAGGGTGTGATTTATTCATAGCAGGCTCTGGCACAGCCGAGGGGGTTGTACAATAAACCCCTGACAAGGCCCGTGCCAAAAGCCATTAGGAGGAGAGAACAATAATGGAGACACAAAGTATTTACAGAGCGAGTTGGCTTTAATTTAAAATCCTTTACTGAGGC